TTTTTAGTAGAGACGGGGTTTCACCATGTTGACCAGGGTGGTCTCGATCTCTTGACGTCGTGATCCACCCGCCTCGGCCTCCCAAAGTGCTGGGATTACAGGCGTGAGCCACTCGGCTTTTCTTAAAATGAACTTCTTGATCATAATATCCCTTTACTGGAAGTCCTTTCAATCATCCTACATCTGTTGAGTTTTTAAAATTCAATATACAGGCTGCAGCTGGTGGCTCACCCTTGTAATCCCAACATTTTGGAAGTCAAGGTGGGTGGATCAGCTGAGCTCAGGAGTTCAAGACCAGCCTGGGCAACATGGTGAAACCCCATCTCTACAAAAAATACAAAAATTAGCCTCGCATGGTGGCACATACCTGTGGCCCCTGCTCCACAGGGAAGTGAGGTAGGAGAATTGCTTGAGCCTGGGAGACGGTGGCTTCAGTGAGCCGAGATCACACCACTGCACTCTAGCCTGGGCAGCAGAGCGAGACCCAGTCTTAAAAAAAAAAAAAAAAAAAATCAATATACGATAGCTAAGATTAAATTTAGATCTAGTCTGAGAATTAGTAAAGCTACAACTTATTTCTAAATTGATAAGGGCCAGGTGTGTATGGGCTTGAACCTTAGCTCTGCCATTTACTATCCGTGTTATCTTGAACCATTACCTCACCATGCGCAGATCTCCCATTCTTTCCTCATATATGTCATATGCTGAGATACAGGCACATACTAGGTGCCCAATCAATGGAAGTGATTAATATCTTGCTTCTCAATCTGTAAAAATGGAGATAAAATAATTCTAGATATGCAATGACCATAAAGTATTTTATATACCTATAGGGCTCTATATTACAAACGTTATTTCAGTTTCTGTAAAAGTAGATGTGTTCCCATTTTCTATGGTACCTGCTTTAATATTAAAAGGAGATCATTTTATTCTGTAGAGCTTTTTTTAGTATAAAATTCAACCTCTCCCACTCACCACCTCAAATTACTGCCACTACCAAAATTGAAAAAATGTGATAATAGGTTTTGCTAGTTTTGTTACAGTAAATATTCCATAATACTTGGTTTCCTCCCTGATTGAGCTAAAAAATGACAAAGAAACCTATATACAACAGGTAATGTTCATGGAGAATATCAGAAATTTCTGTAGAGATTGTTACAGGCTCTTTCCTAGCCCTTCCCTACACACTGGCTCTGGGGTCATTAACAGGTAATTCTTTTACATGGTCACATATGTGCAACTTATTTATTTAACTTTCAGTGGTATCTTGTACATAGCTGGATTTCCATTAAGATCTGTACATTTTTTTTTAAAAAAACATAAACTGTAATATTTATAGTCATAAACTACCTCATCTAAGAAACATTTAACATGATTTTGCTATTGTTCTGTTCTTGACAAACCAGGAACTTAAAAGCTCATGAGATGTTTTATTTTTTAATTTTGCATTTTTTTCTTTCTTTCTTTTGTCTTTTTTTGATGCAGTCTTACTCTGTCACCCAGGCTAGAGTGTGCAGTGGCGCAATCCTAGGTCACTGAAACCTCTGCCTCCCGGAGTTCACACAATTCTCCCACCTCAGCCTCTGGAGTAGCTAGGATTACAGGCATGCAACACCATGCCTGGCTAATTTTTTTTTTTTTTTTTTTTTGTATTTTTTAGTAGAGACAGGGTTTTACCATGTTGGCCAGGCTGGTGGGACCTCAAGTGATCCACCTGCCTCGCCTCCCAAAGTGCTGGGATTATAGGTGTGAGTCACTGCACCTGGCCTCCCTTTTTTTTTTTGAGATGGAGTCTTGCTCTGTCTCCCAGTCTGGAGTGCAGTAGCACAATCTTGGCTCACTGCAACCTCCACCTCCTGGGTTCAAGTGATTCTCCTGCCTCAGCTTCCCAAGTAGCTAAAATTACAGAGGCCTGACATTGCTTCCAGCTAATTGTGTATTTTTTAGTAGAGACGTGGTTTTGTCATGTTGGCCAGTCTGGTCTTGACTCTTGACCTCAGGTGATCCACCTGCCTCAGCCTCCCAAAGTGCTGGAATTATAGGCATGAGCCATCACATCCACCTTTTTTTTTTTTT